CATAGTCTGGGTTGCTGTTAAGGAACTTAAATTAAGTTACCATAATGGGTATGTATAGTAAATAATGGGGTTTCCCCAATATAGTAACTTAATTAAAGTTCCTTAACAGCAACCCAGTAGTCTGCCAAATATGGAAATAGCAAGGTTGTGACCATAGTCTCACTAAGGCAGCTTAGTTCTAAGGTTAAAACCGTGGGCCCCTAGTATGGGCTCTTAACCCTGGGATCCTTCTATACTTATCGTTAAAGGTCTCTAGACTTTCCCTAAAAGGGCTAAGGGCTTATATTAGTGGCCCATGCTTCGAACTTTAGATTAGTAAATATTCTTTGTAACGTTATCTCCCTTCCACCATTTGCACCGCTTATTCCACTTGCTTGCTGGGCTGCCAGATTCATACGAATACAATCAAGCCCCAGAATCAGTATCTATTCCCGGAGTCCTTCGGGGCCCCTTCTCGAGAATATTAAGCACTGCTAAACTCTGAGGCTTGACGTTGCTTTATACCATCTTGTAGACGACGACCTTGACGTTGTTTTGTTGAATTTCAGCTTTAGCTTGAGCTTTTCCCTAGCATGACCAGGCTTTCTTGTGGGATGGTAAACCGTGATGTAAAATGAACCCTTGTTCTAAGCCTGAAGGATCCCAATATCAGAACCCCTATTGTACAACATCTGCTATCGATGGCAGGGGTTTACACCAGTGCTCTGTTTGACAGTATTCTTCGGGCATGTGTTGCTTGCATCTTCTTAGATCAACCAGGGGCTAGATTGGAAACGGGGCGCAAGGTTTTACTTAAGGCACATGCATATAAGGATCCTGCGTAGAGGGTAAAACGCCGCAGAACCCTGGCGGGGGTTTCGGGAATCATTTAACACATGAGCTATAGTCTAAACTCCTTAAAGGGGGATATATAGGGGATTATATAGGGGACCTACTATAGGGGCTATTAAGGGGGATACTAGGAGTTTAGACTATAGCTCACATGTAATCTGTTGCATCGCCATGAATTGGTCCAGCGACCCCTCAGCCCTCAAGGCCGCAATGACGCAATGTAGAACCTTGATAATACCAACCAACCAACAGTATTGTCTCAGAACCAAGGTAACTAGAAATATTGCAGGTTTTACTCTTGTTTGTAACTATTAATGCCCCCCGGTTGCGGTGTCAAATGCGTTTCCTGCAAGCCATGGGCCACCATTATACTGTTGAAACTGGGTTGCTGTTAAGGAACTTAAATTAAGTTTATGTATAGTAAATAATGGGGTTTCCCCAATATAGTAACTTAATTAAAGTTCCTTAACAGCAACCCAGGAAAAGTCTGCAAGATCAACAGTAGTTAGCAGCAATGATGCTAGCGTGTCCAAGCAATACAATAAGTAGCAGGGAGCTCTGCTGTGCAAAAGGAATACGAAGCATGGTTTAACCCAACAAGGCAATATCGTTGGTTTGCCATGACTCGCTTACATTGCTTACATTTTCTGCGGCCAACCCTGAACCCTGAACAGAAAGCTTAGTTGTGAGCTTTGAGTCACCCCACCTAGGCTCATGTAAAGCCAAGAGAAGCAAAATGACGACAGCCCAGGCCTGTGCGGCCAAAATGCTACGAGGTGCCACGGGATGAGTCGAAACAGATCATCTATGGTCCGAACTCTTTAAAGTTGGTCATGTATGGGATTATATGGGGGCAGTAGCATAGAGCTTATTCAGGGAGATACTAGGAGTTGAGCTTATGACTAAGCTCAGATGATGGAGGGGTTGCGTAAGGACTTCAACGCGTAGACCTCTGATGAACCGTCTTCCAGTGGTGGACATTACGACGGTGATCCTCTCCAGCGATGCTAATCAGCCAATATAGGGTTTAGGGTTTAGGGTGATATTTTAGGGGGCTGAATAATTATCAGTATTATGGTTCCATAATTCCTTCCTTGTACACTTATAGTATAGGGTACCTCAAATAGGCCTGTATAGTATGTCTCTGGCGTATGTTGGCGAGGACCTAGACCTCAAGACGGAAAGACAAGCGGTTCAGCGAATAGCAATTCGGAATGTACGATGTGAAGCAGACAGTATTATCCCTTTGACCTACTGGTGCTTAAGGGGTTATAGTCTCCCTTAAGTAGATAGAATATGGGGTGTATGGGGATCTTATTCTAATATACCCCAAGCCCTATTCTATCTGCTTAAGGGGCACCATATAGTATAGGATCAGGGTGCTTGGGGGGGGGGCGAGTTGGGGAGGGAATATAGGTACCATTATAGGAGCAGTTTTTTGGGACTACATAGGGATAACTATAGGGATCCACTCCGCCACTCTCCCTTAAGCACCAGTAGGTTGAATACAGCAACCTAAACCCTAAACCATCCTAGTCGGCGCTTCAGGGCCAGGCTGTAACGTATAAGATTGAAGCTGTCGCCCACACTTCTTCATGAAACTCAGTCTTGTTTAGGGTTTAGGGTTTAGGGTTTAGGGCATTTGGGTGTGACCTAATGGGTTTCTCAACTACTCGCTGTCCTACCCGAGTCCAATCTCAAAGGTTTGCCAAGCAGACAGGAGATTCACGGTGCGATCAGAAGCAGGGTTGAAAGCAAGCTTTAGCGAGTAATGGAATTGGTGCAGGAGGCATCAGGTGTGCAAGGTTGTATGGGGTTCTCATGGGACGAGAGAATTCTTTTAGCACTTGAGGGAGGCGTTGATCCACGTTGTGAGCATTTTGACTGTTCTGTGTGTGTGTGTGTCTTGACCCGCTACCAGGTGCTGAAAATGAGACCATACGCCTGCTGATTTCGCTGTGGACTACTACTGATGCAAAACTGTTGAACAGGACGGTACATGGAGGAAATCTTCCACCATCTTGGTAAATCCCCAAACCCAGACCCCCTAAAGGATCCAAAAAATGGGACCCGCTAATAATCCCCTAGTTTCCCCAATGTAGTAATGGGTTCATATTGGGGGGGTTCCATTTGTTGGATCCTTTAGGGGGTCTGGGAAGTGGTAACTTAATGTAAGTTCCTCAACAGCAACCCGGCTTACAGTTTGCCGCAAGAGAGCCTGTAGGTGACTGAAGGTCCTTAAGCAACCGAGGTAGAGAAAGGCCAAAGTCAGTACCAGGTAATATAGTCCCCCTTAAGTAGATAGAATATGGGGTATATGGGGATCTTATTACAATTTGGGTCAATTCCATATTCTGTCTACCTAAGGGGGACTACCCTCTTGTTTCTTATTGTCATG